TATTATGGATTTTGTGAATATATGCATGCACTTGAAAATCATGTATTTTTGAAAATTGTTTAATCCAGCACTGTTTCCTTATCGTTGCCAATATTGGATATTACTCAGTATTTAGAATAGCTACAATCATATAAGAGGGAAAATGTGTTTAATTTTCAATTCTTTGATTACTAGAGATAAGATTTTTATTATTTTCTTTGTATTTCATAAATTATTACTTTTCAACTAATTTTTTCTAAATCTCCTCTTGGTGGTTTATAAAATTAGATAGATAGGTAGATATGAATGACAATATCAATTTATATTTTATGTATGTATGATAGTAGAGGAATTCTGGTGGTACTGCAGTGTTTAAAACATTCAGCTACTAACCAAAAGGTTGGCAGTTCGAACCCACTAGCTACAGATGAGGCAGTACACTTCCATAAAGATTGACAGCCTTGGAAACCCTGTTGGAGAGTCTGCCCTGTCCTAAAGGGCCACTGTGAGTCAGAATCAACTTGATGGAAGTGTTTTTCATATGAGAGTAACAATTTACCTGTTAGCAATTCTTATATTGCAATTTTCCACTTCATTTGTTTACCTTTTTGTATGATTTTTTATATACAGAATAAAACATAAACATTTTACAACTCTTTTATTTTTGGCCTATCAAGTTGCAGCCTTTGTATGGCCAGAAAGCACTCCTCAATAGAGAGCAATTATATCTGTTTATGATTATCTTTATATATGTGTGTGTGCACACACATATACATACATATATAAAGATAATCATAAGAAGATATATACACCAAACCAAAAGCCAAACTCACTACCATCGAGTAGATTTCAACTCAGAGTGACACTCCTTGGGTTTCCGAGGAAGTATCACTACAGAAGTTAATTGGTGGATTGCGGCATCTTCCTTCCAAGGAGTGGCTGGTGGGTTTGAACTGCCAGCCTTTTGGTTAGCAGTCAAATGCCTTAGGCACTACGCCACCAGAGCTCCACACACACATATATACAGCCATATCTGTTTATGATTATCTTTACACACACATACACACATATATATATGTATGTGTATATATATATATACATATATATATATGTATATATATATAAAGTTTTTTATTTTGATGAAGTCTTATTTATCTATTTTGTCTTTGTTTTTCATGCTTTCTGTTTGTACTTTTCAAAGAGATGTCTATACAGTGTGCTTTACTTTAAACCCAGTTCACATAACCACTTTTAGGTATGGGAGAAACAATGAAAATACTGCCTGTGATGTTAAGTACTCAAGTTAATGAAGTCCTACCTGTTTTGTTCATTTACCAATAAAATGAGACTATAATTCTTGTCACAAAATAAGGTAATCAACATAAATATCTATGATTAGCCAAGGCAAAGAAAATCAAATACATTCAAGAGGTGTTAATGATAGTTCAATGTAACTAATATAACAATTATTTCATTAGCAGTGATAAGTCTAGACTCATATTTTTAAAGACAAAAATCTGAGGAATCATATCAGTGGTAAAATGATTTAATTAAGATTTTAAAAAAATGACTTTGGGAAGAAATTAGAAGTAGTGACAATGAATATCCTTTCTTTTTGAAAAATTATGTGAATACGTAGCCCAAGTTCATGAACTCAATTTATCTGAAATGATAGCAAGAAGAAAAAATATCTTTAAAAAGAAAACTCCACATACTGTACTTGAGATGGTACTCAAAGAAGGAAAATTAGAAAGAGCTCATATTATATCCTCTCATTGATTTCTGTGCCAAATTCCCGTCACTTCTGACGGCAGTTCTGAAAATGGATGAATGATAGGAGTGCTTTGAAATCTGATTTAAGACCCAAGTGGGGCTACAAGTGAATCAAACCTTTAGAATAATGATTTGCAGGAGAGTAAGTGAATTATGAGTGTTTAGGAGTGGCCCACCTGAACGTTGATATATTGCTCAACTTCTTTTTTTTTTTTTTTCCCAACCCCTAGAAGGCATCTTACTACCACTAAGTAGAGAACACCTGAAAAATTGCTTTGGTACTTTAGATTCACTTCAGTGAGCTGAGATTTAAGCTGTATTTCTGTAGACAATATCTCTCACAGCTGCTTGGTGTCTTGAAAGTGAAAGAGGAAATTTACTAAAATTTGATACGAATAATGAATCCTGGTCACATTTTTCAAAAAACAGAAAATTTTTAAAGGAACATGAATTTTCATATATCTTTTTTTGGCCAGAAAAATAAAAAATTATATAAAATCAGCAAGCAATGAAAGTTCAAAGTTAAGATATTACTTTTTTGTTTTGTAAATAACTGATGTTAATATGAACTCCAAATTTATTTCATTTTATAATCTTGCCAAGACATTTAGTGTACATTATTTTAGATATATCAAAATAATAAAGTTAATACTAAGTGATTTTTAACTTTACTTCCTTTGTTTTTATATCCTTGAAATTTTCACTTAAGAATTAATCAGATCTCAAAGGTGATAAAAATATTTCCTTCAGTGTACAACTGAAAAGCCATAAGCAACCTAAATAATCTGAGAGCCACCCTGCTTAAAGAAAATTAGACGTTGTCTTTGTTATGGAAACACAGTTTTACTGTTCATTTTCCTATTCAAATTTACTGCCTATGCAACACAGAGCCAAAAGAAATAAAATTCAGGGAAAAAAATTGCTTTTATTTGACAGCTGGCCAAGACAGATACAAAGAGATGTGTGTGTAATCTGAGATTATTTAATGTTTGAGAAGCACTTTGAAGATGACAAAAGCTAGTTATTGATATGACTGGGAAAATGAGAGATAAATATTACTGAGCAATTTGATATGGGTGATGCATCTGAAAGTTGGCATCTCAAAATTGGAGCTGAGAAGCTAGAATATGTGCTTACTTTTT